ACTGGCTGTGGGTATCATTGAAGTTGAACTTGTCAGCAGCCACCGCCCATCTTAAAAGAAACGTTGCAGCATCTGTATACCTATAAGATGTGAACATATTATTTCAACTGAAAACCACAGTAGTCTCATTCCTCCATAAACAGGTGACATTGATATATGCTGGTCTGTCAGCTGAGGTTCTACTAGATATTAATTGTCAAAATAGCCACAAGATTGTATTTCAGATGTATAAGATTAAACCTCACAAGAACCGGTACAGTAGAAAATGACGATAAATACACGTCAGAAAGTGTAAGTGACAAGTTATATGTCACCTTAAAAGAATATAGTTGCATAACCTAGTTGAATAATAAAAGAATTGCACTAGTACCTACACATGAAAGTCATTTCAATATAATTTCAATGTTCCATTATTTGCACCGATACCAAATAGATATATGAGATTTATTATAAGCAACACAACACACTAATTAAACTTCGACCAAAGAAAGGGTTGTAGTTTCTCGAGTCAGTTTTATTATTACTCCTCTTAATTTCAATGTTCCATTATTTGCACTGATACCCACCGAATAGATATAAGAGATTTATTATAAGCAACACAACACATTGTCTACGTGAACCAACAATTTTTACAATATACAGTTTGAGAAACTTCGACCAAAGAAAGGATTGTAGTTTCTCGAGCCAGTTTTATTATTACTCCCCTTAATTAGGATTTTAGAGGAGGAGCTTATACTTACTTCTCAAGCTTCACATAAACGCCTACAGCAACACGATACAGATCAAAGGTCATCTGTACATTCCCATCCTCTTCAAGAAGATCACAAGCAACAACGTAAAGCTGGATAGCTTCATCAGGGGACTTATCTTCTAAAGCACTTTTAAGAGATAAATAAACACTTCTATCAAAGCACATATAACACAACAAAAAGGTTTAACACGTTATTTACATGTTTTTTTTCAAAAAAACATAAGAGGGCTGAGGAATGGAAGTTATTTCCGTACCGAGCACCCTTTGTAAGAGCATCGAATGCAACCTGAGAACTTCCTGCCTCAATTTACAGCTCGGCTGCACGTTTATAACACTCAACTACTTCATTCCACTCGGGCACTTCCTTGGCCATATCTCCTGCAAGCTCCATGAGCTTCGCTGCAAGCCAAGTCCCACCAAGCATCTCTTGTCCTTTGGATGCCTTTTTGAATGCATCCATTGCTCGATTATACTTTTTGGCAAGCCTAAATCCATTTGCTGTTACACAAGACCAGATTTCATTAGAACACTTCAAATAAATTTATTAGGATGCTTGTTTCCCAAATAATTTACTCACATTTAATTCATATTCAAATCTAACTCAACTTTAATTCAACTCCACTATCCTCAATCCCACTATCCTTGTATTATTCATATAATTAAATAATACAAACCCATCATTCTTACACATCACATCAGTTTTGTTTCACTATTCATCCAATCACATAATTTCAACTACCAATCATTTATCTCCTACTTTTACATCAAATCAATTTTAATCATTTTATTTTAAATATTATTTTAAACATTTTTAAAATTTCACTAATAACTAACCATACCACTTTTTTTTTTAAAAAAAAATTAAGTCTAGTTAACTAAAATAACTCATTTTGAATGAATTTTTTAATAAACAAGCACACCCTTATTAATACCGCCACTGAAGAAGGGGAAAGAAATATATAACCATACCCGCCTGCTCGTACAGAAAAGTGGCGTTCGTCCAATCAGCAGTTCATCTCGTTAAGCTGAGCTTAGTCCTGCAAGATCAAATAATTTATTTTAAATAAATACAAACATTGCTCTCTCTATATATTAGATTAGATAACAAAATGTCATCCACATTAAAAAAAAAAAAAAAAAAAAAGAAAAAAAAATTACAAAGCCGAAAAATTGATGAAACTTGCAGTTTGTGGAAGGTAGCAAAGTTTGTCAAATACAAAGTTTTCCCGCAAATAAAATAGTATAATATCACCCCTTTCCTTGTGGCCTTACAAATTGTCATATATACAAATGGCATTGTACTCGACAGCAAACGTCCCAAGCAATATCTCCATCAAAATTATGCTCATATGATTAAAAGATAATAATAATCTCTGTGACATAATATATGCATGCGACAAATTAGTTTAACTGCTTACACAGAGAACAGTGTGGCTCGGATTTCAAGTTGGGTGTTGTCTTATTATGCACATTGAGCTAATACAAAAGGGTTTGGTCCTGAGATTCTGCTTTAATATATGAAATATGGTTATCAACGAACAAAAGAGAAAGAAAGTGAAAAGAAAGTCTCACCTTAAATCAGCTTCACCAACCAATTTCTTCAGTTTGGTAGGTGACATTGGCGATCCAGATGGTGGAATCACCACTTTCGAAACATTACACTCCATCAGCCAAAAACAATTTGGCACGTTGGCATGCCCACATTGAATAACCTGATGCACCGGTCGGATTTTCGACCGCGCAGCAAGCCACACCGATGACCCCCTCTGTAAAATAGGTCTTTCTCAAACTCCCTGGCCACAAACGTAAGTGGAAACTTCTTGAATTT